AGGGGCCTAGTGGTTTTGAGGGGAGGGGACAGGAAGACACTCTGAACTCTGGGTCAGCTGAGGACAGAGATGGGGAGACCTTCTTGCCCTATAACCCACTTCTGGGATCCTCTTCTCCTACAACCTACCCCCCCCATCCCAGGACAAACTCCTACCTCTGTCTGCAACTAAGAGTTGCATCTCCCATGCTGAGACCTCCAGAGGTGTCCCAGAGTGGTGAGGTTTGGGGGACATGGCACATGTATGCAGCAGCTGTGTGCCTGGTCACACCTGTCGCTGGGGTGAGGAGAGCGCCCCTCTCAGGTGGGCAGAGGCTGCTCTACTCAGCTGGGGGCCTGGAGACGCTTTAACGGAGGGGCAAGAGGGCTGCGGGGTGCGCAAACGGGCCACGTGGAGGTGCCGCGGCAGGCTGGGGCGCGAGCCAGGAGCGGGCCCCTCCCGTTGCAGGGAGCCGCCGAGTGTCGGTCGTCGCTGACCGCAGGCTGCGAGAGCGGTTGATCTGGTGAGCGAGCACACCCACTTACCCAGCTGCTGAGTCAGGCTGTTCTCGCTCGCGCTCGCCCGCCCGCCCGCTCGGGACATTGTGTTCCAGCCCCGGCGCGCTGGCAGCGGGCCCAGGCGCTCACACCAGCCTCCTCGCCCTGTTTGTGCTCGCGGCTTGCGCTCGGCGCGCAGCCTCCCCGCCGTCGCAGCCTCCCGGCCGGCCGCCACAACCCTACGAGTGTGCGCTGGGGCAGGACTGGCGCGCGACCTCGGGGACGCGCGCCCGGGCCGCGTGGGCCCCCCGCAGCCCTGCCCACTCACCCGCCTTGGAGCACCCAGACCTATGCATCCCCCATCTGCCCCCAGGTTGGGAACCCCAGGCTTGCTGGGGTCTGGATTTGCACAGTTGGGGAGGAGAGGCGACTGTTGGGAGCTCTAGGAGAAGGAACCACCGAGGCTGCCGCCCAGGTGCCCCAAGCTCTCATTCCAGGAGTCCGGAGGAGGAAGCTGGGAGCACTTGACAGCCCCAGACTTGCAAGACCTGGGACGCAGTCACGTGACAACGGAAGCCTATGTTGAGGGGGCCATTTCTAGCGTCCCCTGGAGGAGCCACCCCTTTCCTCGCCCCCATTTCCTGATCCTTCACAGAAGCCTTGGAGCACGGAGACTCCAGGGATTCCCGGGGCTGGCAGACCAAGCCCAGCCCTTTTGGACAGCTTGGGAAACCCCTGGCAGGACGCCAGGAGCAGGGAGAGCCCAGACACTGGCGGGTGGGTGTGGACAGCCGAGCGGAACAAGGGCAGGGTGAGGGAAGACGCCCCCAATCTCCCCCTGCAACCTGGCCTTTCCCTTTCTTTAGCCCCAACCCTGGTTTTTTTTAAGATCCACGTTTTCTTCTTACCCAGCCTTCTGCAGAAACACATCACTGAGTGCTGATCCTGAAGGTCCCACCCTCTCCAAACCAAGGAGGGGCCAAAGGATTTATAAACTGAGCACCTACAACATGGAAGGTTCAGTGTGGGGTGCTGCTAAGGGTGTCATTAGAAGTGAGGCACAGTTCCTGAGGTCCTTCGTTCTCCCTCCTGACCTCCACCGAGCCAGGAGTGGTGGTCTTCCCTGCCTACCCATCTCCCCAGCTCCAGCTCACAAAGCTGGCTTGAAACAGTGCCAGCCAACTGATTCCTCCTCTCAACACCCAGCACACTCGGCTTGTACCTTTCTCACAGCACAGCCTGTGGCCTGTCTCATAGGCTAGTGATCTATTTACTAATCCTGTTCTTCTAACCAGATTAGAAAATCCTTGAGGCAGAAACAAAGTCTGCTTCTTCTTTGAGGCCTCCCCCCACCCCTCCAACTCATCTGCCACAGGCCAAGCTTGGCCCGGGAATTGATGTTCAATAAATATTGGGTGTATTGAAATGATTTCCTGCCCTTGGGCAGTTTGCAGGCTGGTTGAAGAGACAAACACATGGCGTGAGGTTAAATAATAACCCGAGCCAGCAGGTGGTGAGTACCAAATGTGTGTAACAGCTACAGGACTCAGAAGGAAGGAGGTGGTGATTCGGGAGAAAGATCCCAGGAGGTTCTGGGCCTGGAGCTGTGTGTGTGGAGGAGGAGAGGGGAGGGGTAGAGGTGACTCATTCTGGTTGACATCACCACAAAACAGCCTCCATGCTAGGCACTTTACATGCATTATCTCTACTATTTAAGGGGAGGGATAGGATTAGAAGGGTTGGAAGGGACAGTGCCCAAGCCAGCCCCACCCAGAGCCAATCAGAGCATAGAGGCAGCCTTGGGTCTGGGCTCCCCACCCCAGTCCCTGGGCACTGCCTGTTCCCTGGCCTGCCACTCCTACACACTACGCCCAAGAGAGCTGCCCAGCACTACCCAGTTCTGGATGCACTCTGGTCCCACCCTGTGAACAACTGGCTGTGTGACCTTGGGCAAGGCACTTCCTTACTGTCATCTATACCTCTCTTGCAGCCCTTGCAGGCTGTAACTCTGAAAGTCAGTGTCCAAGTGATGTTTGCCACCTCCCTTGGTGTTACCTGGGCTGCTGTGGCTGTCTGCACGCCACACTCCCCCACGCGCACACACCCTGGCTCCCTCCCAGCGTGGAGCTGCTGGGAGGAACACTGGGTACAGAGCGTGAGCAGGGATGGTAGGTTTCCTGTGGTTGCAAAAGGAACATCGGGACTTTCCCTGCAGTGCTCGCATTGTGGGAGAAGTGGGGGAGGAGAGGCAGGGCCACCTCGAAGGAACCTCTGCTCTCGTCCCTCCCCTCCTCAGTGCTCCCAGCTCTCAAAAAGGCTGGTACAGTTTGTTACGCTGGGGCCGGAATGTACCGTGTGTTTCATATGGCCTCTGTCCAGTCCTACACTGGCGGCTTTATATTTATACTTCCTTCTCCAGCCGTGGCGTCCTGCTGTCAGCTACCCCTGCTCTCATCTGCCTACCGCCTCTGGGGCCCCCTGCCCCCTCATGGGTCAAGAAACGAGTCTCCTGCCACTGCCACCACCACCCCCAAGGCCTTGGGTTCTAAACGCTTGTGGGGGATGGGAGGGTGGGGTGCAGAGAGAGCTCTGGAGGGGAGAGGTTGGCCTCCGGAAAGGTGAGTGCCCCAGGCCCCTTTCTCGCTGTCATCATCCAGCCCTGAAGCTGCCTCCAAAGCTATGGAGCCTCCAGATTGGGTCGGCAGGTCCCACGGGCCCTTGATGTTGGTCCCTTTGTCCTTGTCATCCTTGTTTCCTAAGCACTTCAGCAGTATTCTTGAGCCCAGACAAGTGACAACTCTATGTAAGTCACCAAAAGCTTGTCAGGCCTAGTAATCAGAGGCCCTTCCCCATCAGTCACACAGAACACGGGCAGGGTGGGGCCTGGTGGCGGGGCAGGCGGCAGATCTACCTACGCTTTTGCCCCAGGAGCTACACGTTCCTAATAGAAGCTGCAGCATGGAATCTGACACTTCATGATTTCTCTGCTGTTGGGACCAGTTTCATCTCCTCAAAGTGGCTTAGATATTCAGAGATCATTACGTTTACAATCTGGCCTTCCTTCCCCAGGAGCATGTGATACTATCATTCATGATAATAACTAAGTTCGGCAGCTTATGGGCGGCTCTCTCCGCACCCTGCGAGAGTTTAGAATCAAACACTGAAGAAAGGAGACCCGCTACTAGGGATCTTGGGCTCAGGGCTTTGCGTACAGAAGCTCATTTACTCTTCGCAGCAACTCTGGGGTGGGTGCTATTGTTAACCCCCTTTGACAGGGAAACTGAGGCTCAGAGAAGAGATAGAGCTGAGATTCACACTCAGCTCCGTCTGCTGTCATCTAGAAGTTAGCACTTCTAAATGGTCTGCTAGATTGCTGAGATTGTGTACCTAAAACGTAAATCCTCCCTTTCTCAAGCCTCACAGTCTTACTCCCTCTCCCTTCAAGTGACTCCAGGAACTCCGCCTTCTTGGAGCCCATACATGCCTCGAGGTGTGATCTGACAGCTAGAAAACCGTTTTTAGCCCATTTGACGGGCTGAAATCCAGCTGCTAGCAAGGCCCCTAGGACACGGTCAGCAGTGGAGCTGGAGGGGCAGGCCCCCGGGCCCCTGGGCTGTGTGCCTCGCTTGTTTTTGGCTGGCTGGCTTGCCTGCTGCCCCTCGCCTCCCCCCAGGAATAACCGCCTCCTATTGATTTGGCACTGGGATCCGAAAGCCAGGGGCGGAGCCTGGGTTCCAGGCCTCTGAAGTCAGGTCTGTCTGTGGCACCTGGTGACATGGCGACAACGCGCCTCTCTCAGGGCCTGCTCACAGCAGGGCTTTCAGAGAAATCAAACTCAGTATGATCATAATGTTCCTCTGAACTAAGAGGGCTAGTACCCACTTTCCTCCTGGGAAAACTGAGGCAAGAGCAGCTAAGTTGCTCCCCGAGGGCAAGAAACTGGCTCGTGGTTGCTCTCTGGGGTGCTTTGTTTCCTGTCACAGGGTCTCTCCTGAGCTGAGAGAGGAAAATTTTCCAAGATGTCCTGAAACCTGGTAACATGTGGCCTTTCACGTGGCTGTCACCCTAGGACGGATCACAGCCCCACACCGCCCATGCCACCCTTATCTGCCCCCAGGGGATGAAGCAAGGGCACCAGACGTCCTGTATTTAGTCGGCCCATCCTGTTCTCTGGCTTCCTGTCCTCTACGGTTCTCGTGGGCACATTTTGTCTTTCTGAGCTACTTCTTCTTCCTCTTTTATCCTTCCTTCTTTCTTTCTCTCTCCTTGCTGTCTGAGAGTCCTGTTTATATGCCTCCATCCAACTGTGTTTACTTTTCTTTTTCTTTCTTTCTTTCTTTCTTTCTTTCTTTCTTTCTTTCTTTCTTTCTTTCTTTCTTTCTTTCTTCTTCTTTTTTTTTTAGATAGGGTCTCACTCAGTGACCTGGCTGGAGTGCAATGACATGATCACAGCTCACAGCAACCTCAAACCCCCAGCAATCCTGCCTCAGCCTCCTGAGTAGCTGGGACTACAGGTGTGCACCACCATGCCCGGCTAATTTATTTTATTTTTTATAGAGCTGTCTCACTATTGCCAGGCTTCTGTGTTTACTTTTTATTTTTGCTTTTTGTATTTCCAGTCTCCCAGGGTCCCTTCTGCCTCTTCCCTCTGGCCCCATCTTGTTTCCAAAGAAGTGTCTTCCACGCCTACCCACACGCCCTACTCCTCACCTTGCCCCAAGCTTCTGCCAGGGTCAGCTTGTTCCAGTTCATAAATTCAGTGGGCACTTATTGAGCACCTACTGTGTGCCCCAGGAATTGTGTTAATGCCTTGAGAACCAAAGTCCAAAAGCTGTGCCTGAGCATTTATTAAGCACCAGGCATTGTGCTACAACCTGAGAACACGAAAGGTGGTTGCTGCCCTCAAGACCCCGGGGCTACCTGGGAAAATGCACAAAAACAGATGGTTCTACTGGCTTGGGAAGCTGGGGACTGGGTGTGGCCAGAGCAGAAAGTTCACGAGGACTCTGAGGAGGAGGCAAGGCTTTCAGTTTGAGAGGCGCTAGCCAGGCAGGGCAGGGGTGCAGGGTGTTCCAGGTAGAAGGAACAGTGTGTATAAAGGCACACCGGCGTGAAGCAGCCCCGTGTCCTCCGACGGGCACTCGGAGTTGTTTGGCCTGGCTGGACATGGAGTACAGGTTGGGGAGCCGGGGAGATGAGGCCAGAGGCAGGCCAGCCCAGATGGTGCAGAACCTCATGTTCCAGCAAAAGAGTTGACCTTTATCCTGGAGCAGCTGGAAGCCCAGGCAGCCTCATGGCTCCCTGCAGCCCGGGAGCTTCAGGGCTGGGCTGGGGCCAGGGCCAGGGCCAGAGCATTCTCCTCTGATCCCCCATTAACCCACATTTACTGCCCTTTGGCTCAGCAAGGCCTGTGGAAGAGTCCGTCACTCAAATATAATGCTATGTCCAAAGCACAGTCCTTCATTCATTCATTTTAAAAAATAATGTTTAGCAAGCTCTGCTGTTAGCCAGGTACTGCTCTGAGCACCACTAATGGGTCATTGAACCCCACAGAGGTCCCAGCTCTGGAGAAATTTACACCCTTGGCAGCTGGGAGAGGGACAGGCCATTAAAAAAATGAAACAAATAAATTAGCAAGATAATTTCAGATCATGATAAGTGAAAGAAGAAAACAAAACAGGGAGGTAATTGAGCATGACTGGTGCTCTGAGTAGTCAGGGAAGGTTGCTCTGAGGAAGGTTATATTTGAGCTCAGACATGGATGACAGGAACAGAACAAACCAGTCATGTGGACATCTGGAGGCTGAGGGTCTCAGGCACAGGAAACAGCACATGCAAAGGCCCCGGGGCATAAAAGAACTTGGTGCTTTCCAGATTTAGAAAAAAGGATGGGTTCAAATCTATTAACCCCCAGCAATCCTATGCAAGCATTATTATACCCATTTTGTGCAAAAGGATCAAAATGGTCAAATCCCTTGGCCAAAATCACAACTGGTAGTACACATTTTTATTCTAAAGCCATTGTTCTTTTTTCTACCAAAGTTGCAAGTATAGCAACCGTGTGTGTGTATCCTAAATTATCTATGAAAGTCCAATTTTTAAATTCTGTCTCATTTTCCCCTGGACAGTTATCTTGGACATTGTATTCCAAACCATGACTTGAAGCCCTGTCTTCATTAAGTACTACCAGTACTAGTACTGATAGTACCAGTCCTAGACTAGCACTTGACCACTGTAAGCCTTAGTTTCCTTATCTGTACATAGGGAGAGTAGTATTTCCAATATCATAGGCTTGGTGGGAGGATTAAATAAGATTGTTCAGGTAAGAGTCAGCACAGTGCCTGGAGCATGATGCAAATTCAATTAATGGTGCTGCTTCTTTATTGTTTCCTTGGAAATGGAGGCCACCTGCAGAATGATCCTGCCCCCACGGAGTGGGGAACCCAAGACATATAGACAGAAAGAGAGACCAACAATGTGAGGCCCCAGCCGGCTGCCAGACAGGCGGGAGAGCAGCGGGGAGAGAGCGGAGAGAGAGCGGGAGAGGGCGGCCGGAGGGCCTCTTCCCTTCCCTTTGCTCAGCCTCTCGCTCCTCTGCTAGGATCCCACATCGATACATCTTGTACTTCCCGTTTCCAGGGAAATTCCTCACGCTGGACCGCACCCACCCTTGAGGACCTCCGATCTCTTTGAGCAGAACGGAAGCCAGACAGAGACAGGGACTACGAAGCCACAGTCCCCAGCCCTGTGTGTGCCAGGAGGCCCTGGGGCAGACGGCCACGCTGCAGGAGGCGCTAGGACCTCCCCCCGGGGAGCCCAGCATGGCTGCAGGGACAGAACGCCTCTCAGAGGAGGTAGGGACCTCGTGGAGTACGTGACTGCTTCCCCTCCAGCTGCATGCTCCAGTTAGCAGGACAGGGACCCCTCCCCACCCGTCCCCAGCCTTCCCCTGCTTCCTGCTCTGGTGCTGGGAGGCCCTGTCACCACACAATCGCGTGCACGCAACACGCACGCCCCTCCCAGGCACCTCTGAGAAGACCAGCTGCAGCTGGGGGTGGGGTGCGCTGAGTACTGCCCGGTTCTCACACCCCTAGCTGCTCTCCCACCCTGCCCTAGCCCCCAGCTGCTGAGCTGCCTCTAGGTTTCAAGCAAAGCATGACTCTGTCTTTCCTGCTGCTCCGCAGCAGCAGCACCGCCTGGGGTTATTTTTAGCAGGGATGCAGGGAAGGCACATTCCTCCTTGACTTTCACTGCAGTCACCCCCCACTCCCCAGCCGTGACTCGCTGGGGGAGGCCGGGGTACGGAAACCCCCTCCCAGAAAGGGGAAACTGCTGTGTTTTCTGTTCCTTCAGTTCACCAGAACAGCAGTCACAGTCAAGCATGGGGTTGGACTGATGGGAAATTCTAGGTTCCGAAGCCCACGGGCTCTGTCCCATCCCTGTTCTTGGGGAGCAAGAGGCACATGGTGACTGGAGTCGAGGTGCCCGGTCTGTGGGTGCTGGGGCCCCTGGCGAGCAGCGTGGCCGCACGGGCACTGTGGATACGTGGTGTTCACGTGGGCGCTGGCTACATGATTCATTAAACTGAGCACATGCCTTCCATGTGTTGTTCTATGCGTGTATCTTCTCGATGCTAGCAATGCTTATTGAGGTATGATCTACATACATTCTGCATACAGTACAATGCACGAATCAAATATGCAGCTCGGTGAATTTTGCCAAACGTATATGTCCATGTGACCCCCACTAGATCAAGATGCCGGACATTGTCATCATTTCTGAGTGCCCTTGTGCTCCCTCCCAGCCAGGCCCAGCCCAGAGCTGACGGATCCTGGTTTCTATCACCATAGGTTAGTTTCGCACATGCACGTGTGTGTGTGTGTGTGTGTGTGTGTGTGTTATAAACATAAAAGAAATGCAGCTGCTATCATAGAAGGGGGGACATGGCAAAAAAATTCTTAACATGAAAAGGGAGTATCACAAAAGGAGGGTTATTCCAACTGGAAAAAACTAATGTACCCTTGGCCTGGGAAACAGGAGTTTTCAGAGCCAGCCCAGATCCTGAGGGTTGAGAGCAGAGGGGCTGTGAGTGGGGATGGGGGAAGGGGAGGCCAGCCAGGGCCTCCTGCAACCCCTCACCACTGAGCAGTTTCCAGCAAGGCCAAGGCTAGTGGAAGGGCGCTCTCAAGGGCATGCACGGGAGGCAGGGAGAAGTCAGGGCCCCTTTGCAGTTAGGTTATTTGTTTTCCTGCCTTCCCTTCAAGGTCTTTTTGATTCTGAGTCTCCTTCACCCTTTGTCCTGCCTGGGGAAGGGGGAGGCTGAGGCTCTCACAGTAGAGGGTAGAAAAGATCATGGAGCTCACCATTCCTCCCTCCCTTCCTTCCTTCCTTCCCTCCACTTAGGCACCTACATTGGGCTGTGGGTGCCTGCCAGGTGCAGGGGATAGGAGGATGACTAAGACAAATTTTAGCTCACTGTGGAGTCAGAGTTGGCATTCCCAGGTGAGGCAAGGCCTTACACCTCCTTCCTGTTGGACATGAGGGGCCCAGAGAGGGGAAGTGACTTATCCAGAATCACGCAGCTAGCTGCTGGCAGCTGGCAGAGGTCAGCAAAGAACAGGACCCCTGATTCAGCCCTAGCTGGGGAAATGAAAGCAAAGGAAGCAAAATCAATGGCCGGACTCCCCTGCAAGCTTTCTGGGGTAGCAGAAAGAGCACTGACCTTGAGTCAGGAGACCTCATTTCTGCCATGAGGTCTTAGAAGCACTTCCTTGCTCTGGGCCTTGGTTTTCTCTTGTGAACATGAAGGAGGCGGCCTCCTGGGCATGTTTAAGGTCCTTTGTACTCTAACTTCTTGAGCATCCCCCGCATTTTCCTGCCTTGGTGCCTTTGCTTGGTAGTTTCTGCCACCTGGTATGCCCCACTCCCCTCCCACTTCCTTCCTCTGACATTCTCCTAATCATTTATGACTTTCAAATGCTGCCCCCAGAGTCCCCCCCAGTCCTTGGGGATCTGGTGGGGGGTGTCACCGAGGTCTCCACTGCGAGGACAGACAGAGCCTCCCCGGTTTGCAGGCCTTCCACAGGGAAGGGCCTGCTTAGCCGCTGTTGGAGGAATTGCAGGGATTTCTTCCTCCCACCCCACACTTCCACATGCCCCTTTTCAACTTTCAGAGCCTGATGTTGTCCTTCCACAGGGCCTCCAAGACATTGTGCCCGGCAGCCCAGGTTGGAGCATCAAACTGGGACACTTCTGCCCGGGGAGGTGACCCGAGGAGGGCTGAGAAGGCAGAGCCTCAGCCAGAAGGATGGCTGCCCCACCTCACCTGTCCCGCCCTCATTCACAAACACCTGGGCACAACAAATCCTCCCTCACAACAAACACATGGCTCCCGCTCCCACGGCCACACCCAAACCCACTCCTGCCCACCTGCCCGCAAACAGACCAGCACATTTGCAAACACGTACCTCCCTGCCCCCACGGCTCCCCTGCCCCGCCTTGGGGCACCACCCTCGCAAGCAAGTTCATTGCACAGACACACGGCGCGCACGGACAGGCACGTGGGCGACCCGGAGCATGCATGGGCATGCAGCCCCACACACACGCACACTGAGCACATGCACACACGTGTGAACGCATGGGCACGTAGACACACGGACACACCAGGGGTGCACACGCACACACACCCACACGCTCTCCCATGATACGGGCCCCCTCCATGCTCGGCACCCAGGTGGGCCCAGCTCATGCTCAGCAAGCTGAGGCTGCTCCAGGAACGTGCCACGAGAGCGCTCGGTTCTGACTCCTGGCTGCCTCTGGATTTATATCAGACTGGGGTCTTTTCTATTGATTTTCCTTACTGATGGCCCCACGGGAATAAGCAAAAGCCTCAGGAGCTGCGGGTGCACTCTGGGGCAGCACCCCGTCTGGGCGGCTGAAGGAGTGGGGTAAGGATTCCATCACTTCTGTGAACCAATGTCCCCAAGGAGGGGTGGCCTGGTGAGACCAGTAAACGTGTGGCTGGTCTTCTCTTTGTTCTCACCGCCACACTCCTCCCCCAATCCCACCCATTCTTCCCCATCCAATTGGTCCTCATGTCCCATGGGTTATTCTTGTCCCATTCCTCCCATCCAGCCCCTCCTCTCAGGCCTCACCACCACTGCCTCCCTCCAGGGTTTCTAATGGCAGAGGAGAGGTGAGCAGCCCACCTCCAGGTTTATACCATCCTCCCTCTCCATCTTCTATACTGCTGCTAGAATCATCTGCCTCAAACACGCAGCTCATCTGTAACTCAGAGCCCTTCACTGGCTCCCCATTAAGAACAGAGGCCCAAATGCCCAGCATGGCACAGCCAGCTGCCCACGCGCAGCATGCAACTCTCAGCCTGCCCCCAACCGCAACTCTCAGCCTGCAGCTCTCAGCCTGCTACTCTCAGCCTGCCCCCAGCCTCATATAATTCCTCCCGGCCACCCCCCTCACCTTGCCACACTGGTGTAGGCCTCTGAGCCTTCGTATGTGCTGTTCCTGTTTTTCGGATCACCCTTCCCTCCTTTACCTAGCAAAAATCTTCTGGTCTTTCTAGATTGAGGGGTCCTTCTTGGTCTCAATTAGAGTTCATTTAATAATAGTGTTGACAATAATGATTTATATATGCAAGACAGCCGGACAGTGCAGGGTGTGTGCCTATAGAAATTCTGGCTTTTAAATGTGTGCATGCTTGTTAAATCCACATAGCAACCTTGATAGCTACTATCATTATCATCTCTATCCTATCAATGGGAAAACTGATACACAAAGAGTTGAAGTGACTGATTCCCCTAAGGTGACATACCTGAGCGAGATTTGCTCACAGCCAGTTTGGCTGAAGAGTCTGTGCAGTTAACCCCTGAGCCGCGGTGCCTCACTCACTTTCGTAAGCATTTGCCCACTCACATGGCTTTGAGCAACCAGCATCAGTTAGTGTCTGATGAATGAATGAATGAATGAATGAACTCATTAAAATTGAATAGAATGAAGAAGTAGGGCTCATCTTCATTTACGTAAGATGTCTGCCATGCCAAAGCTGTTTTATTTTTATAGAACATGGAATATTTTAAAGAAAATAAATTTTGAGAGTAAAATCCCATACATCGTCTGGCTTTTTAAATGGAATTTATATCAATCCCCAAGCCTAAGTGTTTTTACATCAAGGAAGAGAGATGTCCTCATAACCCCCTAATAACCTGTTGAACCACAGGCTGTCATCTACCTACTGAGCAATCCCCGAGTTACCCCTGGGGAGACAGACCCCCGAGAAGTGACCTCAGGCCAGGTGAATTCCAACTGATGCCAAGGGAGCACCACAACTTAGAGCATGGGCCAGGGACAGAGTTGTTCCAACCATGTCTGTGAGAGCTTTCTGGAAGAGGTGAGATTTGGGCAGAATCTTGAAAGATTTTGATAATCAGAGGAAAGGAAGAAGGGCAGGGAATTCCTCAAAAATGTTTGGCCCCCAGGATTGGGTGGTAGGAAGGGCAAGGTAGGAAGGCAGGAGAGAGAGAGAAAGAGGGAAGATATGAGGGTGGTGAGGTCAGAGAGGCAGGTCCCAGTCACATGGTGGCATGGCAGGGGCTGAAATCGCCTTCACTTCCACCCTTGGTGGCCATACAGTTTTGGACGAGTGGCCGATTTCTCCTATTCTCGGCTACCCTTCACGCAAATTGAGCATTTAAGTCTGGGGAAAGCTCAAATGAGAATCCTCAGAGCAGGAGGTTTGCCGATCCTCCAGTCTAACGCTCGGTTCCATCCACCAAGGAGCAGCTTCAGCTTCCGACACTCACTTCCGAGAGGCTGCGGGAGTAAGCCATGGCTTCGCCACCCACTGGCCGGGCAGGACATCTAATCTCCGTGCCTTGACTTCCTTAACTGTCAAAGAGTGATAGCGTCTACCTCCTAAGGTTGTTGTTGAAGATTAAATTAGTTAAGGCGCTCAAAACACCTAGAACATAGTGGAGCTTCCAACCCTGGCTAATGTGGTCGCTGTAACCAAGGGTCTTCATAATGTGGAAAATTTCACGAGGCCACCCCTCCTCCAGGGCACAGGTTTGGCCGTGGTTGCTGCCTCTCTTTAGTCCCATGCTTCTCCCACAGGTGTGGTTCCTGCTGACCTGAGCGATACCCTCCACGCCCACCACTGCCCACTTACGCCTGCTAAGCTGATACCGGCTTCTTTGGACAAGATTAGTTTTGCTTTGTGCCCGCAGGGCCAGGACAGGAAAGTGAAGCTGTGATGAAACCTGACTAAATAGTTTTGGGGAGTGCACTGGGCCAACTTCAGCTCCAGGGTCAGCCAGATTCCTGACACCAGAGCCAAGTCCCGGAAGAGCAGGCACTGGTGTCCCAGCATGTCCCCAGGGGTGGCCGGCTCACTGCCCTGCATGTCGCCAGGCTTGGGAAAGACCTGCCGGTTGTTTGCACGATAGGGTGAGAGCAGCATCCAGCTATGCCATGACACCTCCAGCTCTTGGAGAACTAGGCTGGGACAGGATACAAATCTGGCTCCTTGCAAGAAAGGGGCAGGTGGTGAGGTGATTGACTTACAGAACAGAGCCCAGCTCTGTCCTGGTGCCAGGCCCAGCTAGCTGCTCCTGGGCAAACAGTGAGGACCTGAACGATTCTCTTCGAACTTCCAGGTTCACCCCACACACACCAATCTTGCCCTTCTTACCCACTTCTGGGGCTTTCTCCTAACACACCCCCATCCTGCAAAAGCCTTTTCTTAGATCCCCCTGTGGCAAGGGCTGAGATGATGGAGTCAGCCTTAAGAGTTTGAAATTCTGAGTGACAGCCTTAATTCACTTTGGTGCAGGGGATCAAGGGGAAAAAATAGCAGGTCAGAAACTATTATTCGAAAGCTATTTTCTAGAAATACAGAAAGAAGTGAAAAGATAATGCACAGACTAATAAGTATGCACACATACTGCATGTGTTTTAGATCAACCGCACAGAGGCATAATTTACAAATAGTACAATGCACGCATTTAAGTGTACATACAGTTTGATGAGTTTTGACAAATGTGTTTGCCTGTGTAACCTTTATCACAATTTGGATCGGTACCTTCACTTTAAAAGTTTCCTTGTTCCTTTCAACAATCAATCCCCACCTGGCCCAAGTAAACCCTAACCTGCTTTCTGTCAATATGGATTAGATTTGGATTTTCTAGAACTTCAGATAAATGAAATCATATAGTATGTATTCTTTTATATGTGGCTCCTTTTGCTCAATATAATGCATAATGGTTTTTTTGTTTTGTTTTTCTAAGACAGGGTCTCACTGTCACTCAGGCTGCAGTGTAGTGGTACAATCATAGCACACTAGAACCTCAAGCTCCTGGGCTCAAGTGATCCTCCTGCCTCAGCCTCCCAAGTAGTTGGGACAACATGCACATACTACCCATGCCCAGCTAATTTTTCTAGTTTTTGTAGAGACGGGATCTTGCTCTTGCTCAGGCTGGCCTTGAACTCCTAGCCTCAAGCAATCCTCCTGCCTCGAACTCCCAAAGTGCTGGGATTATAGGTGTGAGCCATGGCCTCAACATAATATTTTTGAGATTTGTCCATATTTTTGCATGTATTAGTAGTTCATTCATTTTTATTGTTGTGCTTTATTCCACTGTGTGGCCATACCACAATTTGTTTATCTATTCTACTGTTGATGGAAATTATAATTGTTTGTCATTTAGGGCTAGTATGAAAAAGTTGCTATGAACATTCTTGTATTAATACAACTCTTTTGTGGACAGATGCTTTTATTTGTCTTGGGAGCAGAATTGCTGCGTTGTATGGTAAATGTGTGTATGCTGAATGTCAAAGGAAACTGCTAAACGGTGTTCCAAAGTGGCTGTGTGTTCCCACCAGAAAAGTACGAGAGTTCCAATTGTTCCACATCTTGGCCAGCTCTTGGTATTGTCACTGTTTTTATTGTTGGCACTTCTGGTGAGGCATATATTGCTCTGTCCCTGAAGCACACACTACTGGTCCCTCCTACTCTTTCTGAGTTTCTCTCCCTGCCATATGCTCTTCTCCATTTGCTCTGTCTTTCCACCATGTGCTAGGAGCATTTCCTGGAATTCTCATCATTTGGGTCTCCGCACAAGTGTCACATCCTCAGAAGTCTTCCCTCACTATCCTCTCTAATGGTGTCCTCAACACTTTTCAATCACATTGCCCTGTCTGCCGCATGAGAACTTCAGCTCCATGAACAAATGCATCCTGAATGTTTTGCTTACCTACAACAGTGCCTGATAGATGGTAGGTGCTCAATATATTGTTGAATGGATTTGCAAGCCCAAAGTGTTATGTTCAATATATTGACTCTCTGGGGGTCCTGGGACTGAAAGGGGCTGCATATCATCAAAACAGAAATATTTAAAGCATAAATTATTTTTATCATTTGGGGCTGTTCTGTTTTACATGTAAATATCTTAGAAATGAAAAGTGTAGAAAACAAGAAAGAAAGAAAGAGAAAACCATAGTTTCATCAAATTATTATAGCTTAAAAATATATATAATTTTTATTAGTTTTAAATTTTTGATTATTTTTAAAGTTAGCTTTTGAATAAGTTACATTTGCACATATGGTGAAAAATTCAAACAGTATCTCCTTTTGGAAAAGGCTGCTATATACAAACATAGATATATCTTTCTCTATTTTTTTCCAAAAATAGTGTTGCATTGTATACGTATACATTACTCTGCACCTTGCTTTTTTCATTTAACCATTTATCTCAGGACTCATTCCACATTATTATATGTATTAGTTAAGATTAGGTTCAGCTGCGAATGACAGAAAATTCAGAATATCAGTGCCTTGCAAAATGAGACACTGATTTTTCTGGCTAATGAAGTCCAGAGGTAGGTAGCCAGGCAATACTGGGATTCCACAATTGTTAGGGACCCAGGTTTTGTTATGTCATCCTCAACGTGAGGCTTCTACCTCATGGTCCAATATGGCTTTCTGAGCTCTTGTCATTATGTTGCATCTAGCCAGCAGAAAGAGAAAAAGAAAGAGAGGCATATGAGCTTCCTCCCCTTAAGGACAATTCCCATGACATTTCTGCTCAGCTCCCATTGGCCAGAACTCAGGGGCACACCTAGCTGCAAGGGAGGCTAGGAAATCTATTCTTTTTTCCAAATAGTCATGTACCCAGCTCCAAAATCAGAGGGGAAAAGGAACATGGATATTAGGGGATGATAAACAATCTCTGTTACGTTATATATAGATTTGCATCACTTTAAAAAATGCTACATAGAATTCCATGGTATAAATGTATCATAATCTATGTGTTTTTTTCTTTTTTCCAGACCATGACATCCAAAAGCAATACCATAATTTATGTAACCAGTTGGCAGACGTTAAGTTGTTTATATTCATTACAAATGCTGCTGCAATGAACTATATCTTATATCTACCCACTTGCTTGGAATATATGGGTGTATTTCTGTAGTATAAATTCCCAGAAGTGGAATTATTGCGACAAAGACTATGTGAGTTATTGCCAAGTTTTCTTCTGAAGAGGTTTCATCAATTTTTGGTCTTACCAATAATATTGTTTCCTGCACCCTGACCAACCCACTGTTTTACAAAACTTTAGCAGTTTCTTAGAAAATGATATCTCTGGTAAGTGTAAAATGGTTTTGGTTTACATTTCTCTTATTATAGGTTAGGTGGAATGTCTTTTCATACTCACCAGTGATTTAAATTATGAAAGTAATTCAAGTATCTAGTAAAACATTATCTAGTAAAACAATATAAAGAGAAATGCAATAAAAACTAGTTCTTCCTACTCCAGGTTGCCAGGTCCCATCTTCTTAGGAGTAACCAGCATTAAGAGTTCCTTGGGGGCCGGGCGCTGTGGCTCACGCCTGTAATCCTAGCTCTTGGGAGGCCGAGGCGGGCGGATTGCTCAAGGTCAGGAGTTCAAAACCAGCCTGAGCAAGAGCGAGACCCCGTCTCTACTATAAATAGAAAGAAATTAATTGGCCAACTGATATATATAGAAAAAATTAGCCGGGCATGGTGGCGCATGCCTGTAGTCCCAGCTACTCGGGAGGCTGAGGCAGAAGGATCACTCAAGCCCAGGAGTTTGAGGTTGCTGTGAGCTAGGCTGATGCCACGGCACTCACTCTAGCCGTAATCGTAGCTCTTTGAGAGGCCAAGGAGGGAGGATCGATTGAGGCCAGGAGTTTGAGATCAGCCTGAGCAAGAGTGAGACCCTATCTCTACAAAAAATAGAAAAATTAGCCAGGCATGGTGACATGCACCTGTAGTTCTAGCTGCTTGGGAGGCTGAGGTGAGAGAATCACTTGAGCCAAGAGTTCGAGGTTACAGTGAGCTATGATTGGGTCACTGCACTCCAGCCTGGGCAAAAGAGTGAGACTCTAGCTGCAAAAATAAAAATGTTTCTTGCATATACTTCCATAAATCTCCATTGGAATATATTAATAAATATATGTATATACTTTTTAATTATATTAGTCTCTGTAATTTTTTAAAAGTAGGAGTCTCCATTATACTCTGTTGTACACTTTGTTTTTTCACCTAATATATTTTGTAGATCTTTCGTGTCAGTACATAGAAATATATTTTATTCTTTTAAATTGTTGCATATGTTGCATGGAAAAAACAAAATTCATTAAGACAACATCCTGCTATTGATGATTAAATTGTCTTTAGTTTCTTGCTGTTACAAATACTTCAGTGAACATCCTTGTATATGTAGCATTGCCAACATGTAGGAGTATAGCTATAAAATAAATTCCTGGAAATGAAATATTGGGTCATTGAGTATGTGGGTTTTAAAATTTGATAAACATTGCTAAATTGTCTGCCAAAGAGGTTATACAATCTTCACTTCTATGAATGAAAATGGCTATGCCCTATTTCCCACATCCTTACCTGCATTGTATATTATCAAACTTTTAAATAATCAAATAGATAAAAATGGTGTATCATCATGTTAAATTGTATTATTTTTATTATGAATGAAGCTAAATATCTTTTTATGTATTTCTAAATAATTTGTTTTTCTCTCTGGGAACTGCCTATTTATATCTTATTCCCATTTTCTTTTGAATTATTTATCTTATTGATTTGTAAGAGTTCTTTGTATATTAAAGAATTGACCCTTTGTTATATGTATTATAAATATTTTCCAAGGTTGTAATTTGTCTTTTGACTTTGTTTACAGTGTGTTACATTTTTAGGAATCTGAGTCTGTCAATCTTTTCCTCTATGGCCTCCTATGTCTTGCTTATAAAAGCCTTCCCCACTACAAGCTTTCAGAAGTAAACTCCCCCATGTTTTCTTATATTATCTTTGTATTTTCATTTTTTACCTTCAGATCTTTGATCCATCTGGAGCATTTTTGTTATAAGAAATGAGGTAAAGATCTAGCTCCCTCCCATCCCCTGTTCCCTAGATGACTAATTGGTTTTCCCATCATTATTTATTGAATATTTAAACATTTCCCCAATGCTCTGAAATGTTCATAGATAGTTAGGACTATTTCTTTTTCTTTTATTTTTGAAACAGTGTGTCTTGCTTTGTCACCTGGGATAGAGTGCAGTAGCATCATCGCAGCTCACTGCAGCCTCAAACTCCTGGGTTCAAGCAATCCTCCTGTGTTGGCCTCCTGAGTAACCGGGACTACAGTTGTGCGCCCAGCTAATTTTTTCTATTTTTGGTAGAGACAGAGTCTTGCTCTTGCTCAGCTGGTCTTTGACTCTTGACCACAAGTGATCCTCCCTCCTCGGCCTCCCAAAGTGTTAGACTCTATTTCTATGTTTTATATTATTTCATTTATATGATTTCATCAAAATATATTTATATTTTATATGCCAGAGTTAAGCTGTTTTAGTGATAGTTTTATACTATGTTTTGATATCTGCTAGGGCTACAATGCTTTTCTTTTTCAGAATTCTCCTAGCAATTTTTACATGCTAATTTTTCCAAATGAATTTTAGAATCAGTTTGTCAAGGCAAAAGAAATCATATTGCTATTGGGATTGCAAACAGTAAATATTTTTGTGCCTCAGTCTACAAAAATATACAGTTTCTAAACAAAGAACTATAACAGATATATGATATTTAAGTAAGTCTTAAAAACATGCTAGCACGCTGTCAGCCCTCCTCCTGAGGCTCCCAATGATGTTGGTATCTCAAAGCAGCTTCTGCAATCGGGAGGTTGTCTCAGGGGCTTAATCCAGCCACCCAGACATGTTCCTAGTTTTTTGAGCAATAAGGATGGGAAGTCATTCTTTCCTCTTGAGCTATCACTGGATTGTCAGGAATAGCACAACCAAGTGAAGGCAGCAGGTGTTACACTGGAGTTGAGCACCTTAGGAAGAAAAGGAAGAAGCAGCTTCAGATCTGGTAGTGATCACCAGGGAAACCACAATGGCCAACAGGCCTCTCTGGGCCCCCAATTACTAGTCCTTGAGCTCTAGACTCTGTGAGTCTGGAGGAACTTTCTAGATGCCGCCTCCCCATACACACACTCTACAGAGGTAGAAACTGAGGTGCAGAGAGGGATTTCTCAAATTTGCACAGCTATTTAGTGAAAGATTGGAACTTAGAACCCAGGTGTATCATTAGTGGATCTTAGTTGCAAACAACAGAATCCTATCTGACCAGATTGAGCAGAAAGAGACTTATTTCAGGTAATTAGGTAACTCACAGACTCACCAGGAGGGATAAGAGAAACAGATTCCAGGCAAAGCTTCCAGTGACAATGCCTAAGGCCACATTGCAGAGAAAATGGTAGCTACCACCACTGTTGAACACTGATTCCAATAACTTAGTGTTAGCACAGCCCCTCCTGCCCCAGCACCAACACCAAATGCTGCCTCAGGAACTTGACCTTACAACCCCTGAGAAACCACCTCTGTTGCCATTGTAACCACCAAGCCTCCTGCCGTGTACTTTCGAACTAAAGTCTCCTTTGGGTGTGTAATTGGTAGAGCTAGGTCTCATGCCAATGTTCTGGCTGCAAGGGAGGCTGAGAATTTGAGTTCTGACTTCTAGGTTGAGGGGCAAAACAGGGAATTTCCCCAAGTATAGAAAAGCCACGGCCGGGCATGGTGGCTCACACCTATAATCCTATCATCCTAGCATTCTGGGAGGCCGAGGCAGGCGGATTGCTTGAGGTCAGGAGTTCAAAACCACCCTGAGCAAGAGCGAGACCCGTCTCTACTATAAACAGAAAGATTAATTGGCCAACTAATATATATAGAAAAATTAGCCAGGCATGGTGGGTGCATGCCTGTAGTCCCAGCTACTCGGGAGGCTGAGGCAGAAGGATTGCTTGAGCCCAGGAGTTTGAGGTTGTTGTGAGCTAGGCTGATGCCACAGCATGCACTCTAGCTGGGCAACAAAGTGAGACTTTGTCTCAAAAAAAAAAAAAAGAAAGCCACTTAGAATTTGGACCAATACTCTAGTCAAAGACAACTACATATGCTGGATAAATATTTTGAAATCCTTTTTATTGGTACATAATATTTATATTAATATATATTTATAGAGTATGTGTGATATTTTGTCACATGCATAGAATATATAACGATCAAGTCAGAGTATTTGGGGTATCCATCACCAGGAGTATTTATCATTTCTATGTGTTGGGATTTAAATCTTTTTTTCTCTGTTGATTTTTTTTAGATTTATATATTTATTATTTTATTTTTTTTTTTGTATGACAGAGTCTCACTTGTTGCCGGTAGAGTGAGTGCCGGGTCTAGCCTGGCTCACAGCAACCTCAATCTCCTGGGCTCAGCGATCCTACTGCCTCAGCTCCTCGTATGCTGTGGATACAGGCATGCGCCACATGCCCGGCTAATTTTTTTTGGTACTATATTTTTAGTTGGTCAATTAATTTCTTCTATTTTTGTAGTAGGACGGGTCTCGCTCAGGTTGGTTCGAACTCCTGACCTTGAGCGATCCGCCCGCCTCGGCCTCCCAAAGTGCTAGGATACAGCGTGAGCCACCGCGCCCGGGCAATATTATATTTTAATTTCAGAATGTTACAGGGGTACAAACACTTTGGTTACATATGTTGCCTTTGCACTGCCCGAATCAGAGCTACATGCGTGCCCACCCCCAGACAGTGTGCACCCCACCCATCAGTGTGAATACACCCATCCCTCCCTGCCCGCCACCTGATGAATGTTAGGGATTTAAATCTTAAAATCATCAAAAACCTAACGAGATAGTGAGGAATTACTGTATCAGGATACAGGAAATTGTAAGAGTCCAGAGAGGTTAGAGTTGCCAGATAAAATACAGTACTCCCAGTTAAATTCTTGTCTGAATTTCAGATAAGCAATGAATAATTTTTTAACTGTTTGTCTCAGCTAAATTTGAATTTCGGATAAACAGCGAATATTTTTTTCACATGCAAAGTATCCTTATGCAATATTTGGGACATACTTATACTAAAAAAGTATTTATTCCTTATCTGAAATTCAAATTTAATTGGATGTCTTGTATTTTTATTTGTTAAATCCAACAAGCCTCCCAAGGGCTGCTTTTGCCCAAGAGCATGTGCCGATCTAGATGAGCCATGGGAGAAGCTGAGCTGTACTTTTCAAAGCTTCTTGAGATTAAGGGGTACAAAATTGAAATTCAGGGCCTACCGAGGTTGGAGACCCAGATAAACCTCCCTTGTGGTAGACTGTTACTTTTGATGGTCCCAAATCAGCTTTGGCTACGGGTACTCACGCCCTATGTACTCCCCTTGACTCTGGGCTGCCCTGTGACCTGCTTCAATCAATAGAACATACTGGAAGTGATGTTGTGCCAGTTCTGGCTTAAGCCTTGAGAAGGCAGCGTCTACATTTTGGCTCTGGCGAAAGCCAAATGCTATGCA